CACGCTTTTTATTTATCTGGGAATCTGACTGGTGGCGGGTCTTGTGCCTATGTTACTGGTTTATGCATTTTTAGAATTTCCTCCCTTTCCTTATAAAAAGAAAATTCCTCCATTTCCGAAATCTGTGGTTTTATTCTCTTATGATCGAGATGTCTGGATATAAATGCCAGTTTGCAAGGTGTTAAGGAGTTGAATGCACTTAGAGCCTGTTAGTTTTTATTATCCTTTTAGAGCCTAAATTTACTAGTAATGTGTTGGCCATGTTCCTTCCCTATGTTTGCTATATCAGGTTTGAAGATCTGAAAGACCAGCTAAGAAAACGCATGTTTAAGAAGCGCAGAGTTCGAAGACTTAGATTTGTGATTTTTAATGGATTATCTATTGAACTTAACACCTATGCTTTGATCCGTCCAACTAATCCTGGTCTGCCTTTGTTGCCCTATCTTTCACTATGTAATGATTACTGTTAGGTGACTATGAAGTAATCTTCAGACCTCTTTTTAACTTTCTGCAGGGACAATAACTTGGCTTGACTCGATGACCAATCTTCCTTTAACGGTACTTATTAGCTTCATCATCATGCTTTGCTTTTTAATCTTTTTTTTTTCTCTTGCAGTTTTCTTTCAGTTGCTGAATTCATGTGCATCTCTTTTTTGGTGGAAGGGAGCTTCATGGAATGATTGATCATAACTAACCTTTGTACTTTTTGGGGATTCTTTATAAGTTCTGACTGTAACAGATTTGCAGCTATCTTTTGCTTATTCGTTGAGGATTAGTTGCTGTTTCCTTTCTTTAGAACACCGACCATTTCGTCCTAAGCAAAATCTTATTTGACCTTCGATCTTCCTATATATTCTGTCAGCATTTAGTTGGGTGATTGCATCTATACATTTTTATGGAAAGAACTATCAGGATAAGTTTTTGGTTTCACTTCTCTGTACATCCCAAGCATACAACTATTTTTTTTTTGGTTTCCTTGCGGGCCAATCATGTTGAGATCCAGGTAATGAATATTATCTGCTACCCTTCATTAATGAATATCGTGTGGAGATCTTGCTATGAGTCCATTGCAAAACGAACAAGCAACTTTATTAAATAAAATGATCATGATTTTTTTTAGTTTATCTGATGTTATTTATTAAACTGACTCCTTCCAAAGCACTTTAGGTGCTCTTATCTAAGTATTTCTAGTTTCTTGTTCCACATTCTATCTTGAAAAAATAATACATAGAATCCTGCATATGTTATATAGGTATTATTTGTGCAACTTTTATACTAACGTTGTGTTACATTGTTAGACTAGTTCTACTAATCCAAACTTTTGTACCACAACCAAGTGTTGTATTAGTAATGTTGGGTTTTATACTGAACTTACTATTTATTATACGGGAAATCAAATAAGCTCGTAGAGTTTATGGAGTTCATTGGAAAAGTTATTACTCTCTACTTCGGATTAGTAGTGTCTTTGGAGAATCTAATTGGTGTGTTAGATCTAGCACACAAGTTTCACTAGGAAAAAAAGGGTAGCCCGGTGCACGAAGCATCCCGCATTCACGCAGGGTTCGGGGAAGGGCCGTACTCACACAAGGTTCACTAGATGAGAAGTATTTGTAGTTATAGACGGTGTGGGCTGCATGTTGAGATGGTGTTGCAAGTGGGTGGAACGGCATAATGTTGCATATTGGACATTTTTTCCGAAAAGAAGAAGACTCAATTTCGGATAAGAAATTTCTAAAGGTGTTGAACTATTTTGTCCATTGCCTTAAATGCTTTCTTCATATATTTGTTCGTGCATGTAACGACAACAATTTTTTGCCATGTCATATCAGTATTTGGTAAGGTATTGAGGAATTTTGTGTCAGCTTGTCTCCAAGTCCCTTCTTTCTAGGGCTATTTTTCTGATAACTTCAAGTTGTCAATTGTCATTGAAGTTGGTAGAAAATTTAATGAAATGTCTGTTCTGCTCTTCTGATAGGATTTTGATATAGAGTACGTCTTTAAACCTCTGCTGTGTTCTTTCTTGTTTACAGACAGAGAGATCCTTCATATGTGCTGATACTGCTGCTATAATTCAGGAGCCTGTAAAGCGCTTTCAATCTTACAAGAAGTTGGTATCTGTTTCTTAAAAAATGACTCCTTCCTCTAGTACGCTAGTTTTCTTCTTCTGCTACTATGATTCTACGCTTCTCTTTTGCTTCTTTCTTCTATTATCCTTATTTTAGGATATCTGTTTAGGAGGGAAAAGTTTACATGTTTCTGCCAAACCTTTCTATTATAAAATAAAATTATTAATGCATTTAAATCTGAAATTGGATGCTGCAAATTAGTTTTTTTATAATGGTAGATAAATCGGGAATCGAAAATCAATTTGCAATTGATGTTATCCTTCTATGGCCTGTTGAGAGTATATTTTATTGATGACCACTTTGAGTGGTCGATTAAGATTGTCATTATTTTATATTGGATGCTCAAATTAATAACTTTAGTTCCAATTTGATGTTAGAAGTACTGAATGCATACATGTTAGTTAAACTTCTGAGTTTTGAAGATTGTGCTCTTCATTTTGAAATAGTGTGAGCTCTCTTCTCTTTTTGCTTAATGCTCCGTTGACTTTGTCGACTTTTGCATTTTGTCATATAAACACTGTAGAATATTATTTTATTGTTAATAATTGTGTTATCATATTTCGGGATCCAAAAAATTTAGGAGAGTTTTCCGATATCGCAAACTCATATAGAGTGCATTCATGTATGTTGTCAGCAATCAATTTCAGTTAAAAAAAATTCAGTTTCAACAGGTAGAGTGAATGTCTGAATGATAATTTGTTTCTTTGACAAAACTTCAAAAATTTAACCACTAAAGATTAGCTCATAATACCAGAACATACTAAAAAGGAGAAAAAATTTAAGGTAGCATAATATCTATGCAGATTATCCAAAGAGAAGCCAAATATTACCAACAAGCCTCGCCACAGACTATACAAATTTTCAGCACCCAGCAGTGCTATTTTAATTGGAAACAGGGTGATAAATCTCCACTATTTGAATATTGAAAAGATTGTGTAGTGAACTTAGTAATCGTGGAAAAATTTCAAATTTTGTTTCCATGATATGCTATCATTTGCTTTATTTAATGATCTAATGACCAGCCCAACTTGACCCTGGTGTACTTCTTCAACCATTCACTGATGTCTTGTTCGCTTTTTTGTTTCAGCGAGAACGTCATGTTTTCTGTGGATGAGCTTTCAGAAGTCAAGAGAGTTTCAACTGGACATCTTCGTCTTCTGGGCTTCAAGCCTTTGAGCTGTTTAAAGGATTATCATAACCTGAAGCCAGCAACTTTTGCCTTTCCCAGTGATGAGGTAGTTTCTTCAATAAGCCACCTACATTTTGCTTCTTTTGTTTCGGGATATGATCATTGTTAAAGGCTATTCACAGTCTTCATTGTTGATTGTCTATGCTGGTTGATGTTAGTCTAACCATTATTGGTAAGAGTTTTTATATAAAGCATATGACACTTTTGCCAGTTTATCTTGTTGACAGAAGGGATAGTGGATTGGATTATTTCACCTTTTAAAACTACATCTAGCTGACAAAAGTGCATGTCATGTGAATCTCTCAGTAATAAACAAACGAGTCTGATGAGTGATCTGGAACGTTATGCTTTATTTCAACATTTCTATACCTATCTTCATGTCCATATGGCATAGTTAATCAAACTTAGCTTTAACAACTTGCACTATGCGGTACTAGTAGTTTTAACCCATAACGTTTTTTCCGCTTCGAAACCACCAATTATGAATTATGCCTCTCACCATCTCGTAGAATATGTCATTTCCATGATGATCAATTCTGTTGCTTCTCCTTGGTCCCTGGCAGGAAATGATTGGAAGCACTTGTCTTTTCGTTGCACTCCACAGATCAATGGTGCGGCTTAAGCGGTTAGTATGCCTGAATATGTTGTTTATTGAATTAGAAAATACGTTTAAGTTGCACCCGAGGGTGTGACCTAGTGGTCAATTATGTGGGTGAGAACCATGAGGTCTAAGGTTCAAATCCCAGCGGAGGCAAAAATTTACTTCTCATCTATCCAAGCCTTGGTGGGTAGAGTTACCTGGTACCTGTTGCTGGTAGGAGGTGACAAATATTCCGTGGAATTAGTCGAGGTGCGCGCAAGCTGGACACCACGGTTATCAAAAGAACAAAAATACGTTTAAGTTAATAGTAGGGAGTGATAAGTGCCAGTTATGCATATCTTGACCTATTATCTAATTCTACAAGTGGCGCTCGATAGGAAGGTGTGGAGGTCGAGAATTAGGGTTGTGGGTTGAAAAACAGTCTAGAGTTTCGCCTAGTCTTACAAGTAGTATTAGTACTACTCTTGTATTTTCCTATTCCTAGAAACTTGGTATTTCACGGTGTGTCATTATTTCCAGCAGGATTGACTCTATTCTTGTAGTGTCATATTCTTGGATCTTTGTTATTACACATTGCACCATTTGCTTCGTGTCTTATTACCTTCTTGTCGCTATTGTTTGTTTATTGCTTCATTTTCACCGTTCTTGAGCCGAAGGTCTTTCGGAAACAATCTCTCTACCTCCATAAGGTAGGGGTAAGGTCTGCATACACTTACCCTCCCCAGACCGCATGGGATTTCACTGGGTTTTTTGTTGTTGTTGTTGTTGTTGTATCTAATTTTAGAAGTTGCTAGATGCCCTCTTTCTTCAGTAAAGGTTCATGCACTGTACTTTGAACTGGTTTTTCATTTTCATTTCTGTCAATGATTGTTTTTAAAATTAAAATCTGAAAATGTGTGTCTGGGCAGCCTTTTTCTTAAAGTAGATTCAGGCAACTGTTTTGTTTTCTTCATCTCCCTCACATTTCACCCTATTTTAGGTAGTTTAAGCAAGTCTATCAGCATGCTGCTGTGCTCTAATGCTGTGCTGAATTTTGTTTGAAGCCATGTGTTAAAACAGGCTGCAACTAGTTTGTGTTGATCTCAACCATTACTTAAGTGGCACTTTTTGCTGACTTTTGGGCATTTTTCTGCTTGCGTTTTCCTCATTAATACCAGTTTTAATTATTTTATATGTACCCTACCCTAGAAATAAATCCATCATCTTTTTGTTGCTATGCTTCTGAAGCGTGTTGCTATTCTTGTGTTTGACTTTTAACTATCATCGCAGCTTTGCAGTTGCTTTCTATGGGAATTCAAGTCATCCTCAATTGGTTGCTCTTGTTGCACAAGTAAGATATCTTTTTCCCTCTCTAAATATTTTTAGCTTATAATGTAAGATAATTCTGCCATTGATGCACCCATGATTGCTGATGCTGGGATCAGCAATCGCCTCTGACATGCATTGAAGGATATGAAGAGTAATCTGGCACTTTTCCAGGTCAAGAATCATATTGTTCTTGCAATTCAAGAGAGTTTTAAGAATTTAAATCGAAGATTTCTTAACCATTATGTGAAAGTAATTTCAGATTCCAAGAATAAAAGAACTTTCCTTCATGTGGCTCAGCATGTAGCTCTCTTGTGTTTTAATTACCAATTTCAATAAGAGCCTATCTTCTTTTGTTCTCTTTCAAATGGTATTGGAGCCTCTACGATTTTGATAGAAACTTAAGTAGTTATTCTTACTGGCACCTCATGCTAGGCGAAAGTTTTTCTTCTTTTTATTTTCAGAGTTCAACATTCCGGTCTCTTTCTGCACCTCTTTCGCGATCATTGTGGCTAGACTAAGCCTTTTTTTGTGGGCTGTTTTGGCGACACCACTTCTCTTTTTGATAAATACTTCTAGATTTTTTAAAACACCTACTTTAAAATAATGATCTTTTCCTGGTCCCACTAACTTATGACTGTAACATTAGTATTCTTTTCTATCTTTAGTAATATAATAATATGCAAGTCAAGACACCTTGTAAAACTTTGAGCGCGTTCGAACTTCTCAGTGGAAATGGGGTGGAGGAAGTAGCCCTTTTTGGTGTATCTTTTGTCTGTGAATATCGGCAAAAACTTCTAACTGTTTATCATATATTTTCTTGGTTTTTGATAATTGCAGGATGAAATAACGACTCCTAGTGGTCAAGTCGAGCCACCAGGGATGCATCTCATTTATCTTCCATATTCTGACGATATCAGACATGTTGAAGAGGCAGGCAGAATGTTTTTTATCTCAATGATTAGTCATAATTTTTTTTTCTTTTGTGAAAAATAATGAAGTCTACATCTAACGGATGTGGTTATACCTGCAGCTTCATACTGATCCAAATTCCGTACCTCATGCGACTGACGACCAGATAAAGAAGGCCTCTGCTTTAGTGAGACGGATTGACCTCAAAGATTTTTCTGTGTGCCAATTTGCCAATCCTGGTAAGATCTCATAACTTGGGGAAGCTGATCAAAATTCTATGCTGCCACTATATGTAGTTTCTACTTTCTATTCCAAATGGAAGCTTTTACAAGGCTCTTTGCTGTTATTAGAATTGGAAGAGTGGGCTGATAATTTTTTATGGCGTGGAACCTTTTTTGGAGCTTGATGTTATGGTTGGACCGATCTATCCGATCCATCTATTAGTTGATTAAATGGAAATTAATAAGTGTAAAATTATGAGGTGGACATCCAAAAGAAGAGAAGTTCCTCATATAATTTGTTAAACATTTTGAGGTGGTGTAAATTGCTGAATCTGCTCATAAACTTTAAATAAAATAGAACTTTTAAAACTCTTGCTATTTAAAGAGGTCTGTAAATTCTGTTAATCCATATATCTGCATCTGCAGAATATTAAGAAAACGAAAAATGTATAAAAAAGTTCAACAATATGACCTTTACATTAATGAACTATTTGTAATTCATTCATGATATAGATTCATGTTCTGCTTGCAAAGTTGATGTATCAGGCTGATCTTAGATTGCACAGTAGACCATGTAGGATATTTTGTATTTTCTGTTTCTTATTAAATCACCGTGAAAGAATGCTAGTGTGAAGTAGGACACCTAATTCATAGGAGACCCTCTCCAATTAACAAGCATTCTTAATTTCTACAGAACAGTATGAAGTGGAGTGCCCCTTCTATATGCATCACCTCCTTCCTAAGAATTGTAGTTTATATTTTGGGTCATATAGAAATTCCGTTTGTATTCTTACAAGAGCATTTCTTGCAGCATTGCAGAGACATTATGCAGTATTACAAGCTCTTGCACTTGATGAAGACGAGATGCCTGAAATTAAAGACGAGACTCTTCCCGATGAAGAAGGGATGGCCAGGTAGTGACGGATTTCCACCATCTTAGGTCCCTTTATTCTGTGGTTTTGGTTTCTTTTAGTTTTCAACTTGGCTCTATGTTCAGAAAACTTGTTATTCTGACATTTCTTTTGTATATCGTTTGGGTGCTAGGCCTGGTATTGTCAAAGCATTGGAAGAATTTAAGCTCTCTGTATATGGAGAGAACTATGAGGAGGACGATGCAAAAACTGATGGAAAAGCTGAACCCTCTAGGAAACGGAAAGCAAATGCTATGAAAGAATATTCCAACTATGACTGGTCTGACCTTGCAGATAATGGGAAGGTAACATTTTCAAGCTTATGATGTTACGCTATAGATTCTTGCCTTAGTTCTGGGCTTAACAACAGATTCAAAATGTTATCAAACTATAATTTTAGGGATGGTTTGTGCTAGCTAAGTTAGTTGCAACACAGAAGTCTGTTAGTTATTCAAGTATGCAAGGAATTTTTATCAACACCCGACTCTTTTTCAGAAATACTTTGGCCTAGACTGTTATCAAAACCTGACTCTTTTTCAGAATGCACATCATAGAATTCCATTAGTTTTCAGTAGTATATATATTGAGTTTCACTTTTTTTTGTTTGCCATCTTGCAGTTAAAGGATTTAACAGTTGTAGAGCTGAAGTATTACCTAGCTGCACATAACATTCCGGTCACCGGAAAGAAAGAAGCCTTGATTAGTAGGATCTTAACTCATATGGGTAAGTGAGTTGTAACTATTTCAGATCTTTTGGCTGTTTGCCATAAGTTTGTACAGTATACACTCTTTTTTGTAGCTTGTTAAGTAGTTAATCTTTCTTTCAGTATGAGACTTGTACCTCTGGCATTGTTTTGGAAATTAAGTGTTATTGTCATCTGTTGTTGCATGTATATGAAAAATTGTGGTGACATTGATCAAATATGGATGTCAATGGGGTACGAATGGAGTTAAGTATACCTGACCAGCTTTGCCAATACTCCTTAGAAAAATTAACTTAAATAGCCTCTCATCCAAAAAATAGCCGGCAGATGTATAACATATGTATAGTTTATGTATATCGTCTAGGAGCTGTAAATATTTTTAGCCGAGCGGCTAAATGTGTAACTTATCCCCTCCTCTCATCACGTGTGGACGGGAGAAATTTAAAAATAGCCAGATTTACAACTAGTCATTCAAAAATAACCATAGTTTCAAAATTAATCGAAATTTAGCCACTTTTCATGTAAAGGTAAATCTGAGCGAAAACACTGTTCAAAACTCGAAAAATACGCCCGTATATTATATTGGAGTTCCAGCATAAGTATGCTTAAAATCCAGCATATTATACGGGAGTTCCAGGATAACTATGTGCTGGAGTTCCAGCATAAGTACACTAGAACTCCAGCATAATATACGGAAGTTCCAGCAAGTATAAATGTCCAGTATAATATGCTGGAGTTTGGAGCACCGGTGCTCCAGTCTCTCGTATATTATACATGAGTCAGCAAAATATACTGGTCCAACATAATATGCTGGAGTTCGTACACAAATATACCGAACTCCCGTATATTATACGGGACCGGTCTCTGTTGCAGCAAAATAGTGGCTATTTTTCATTGACTTCGTAAACGGTGGCTATTTTTGATTGACCAATCCGAAAACTGGCTATACCGTGCTATTTTGACCGTGTAGAGGTCCAAAACCAAACTGGGTAATCGAACACATCCAATGCCAACATAAATTTCATTTTAAAATGATTATCAACAAGTTCTATTTCAAAGTGAATTCAACTCGTTTTATTCCTATCAATCATTTCCAGTCACGGCAATCCCACCCGGACTCAAGCTGATTATCCAAGAGTATCTAAGTTGTAACAATTATAATTAAATCGTAGGCCTTTCACGAAAAAAGAAATTGATAGGTGATGACTTATATTAAAGCCATGCAAATATAAAGTTACTTTAAGTATAATAAAAATATGAGGATAAATTCACACACATAAAACGTATTAGAGTATTGACCTATGAACAAGCCCAATAATTTAGTGTCATAATAACATCAATAACAATGTTATTGATAAATATTAAAAGTATTAATTGACAAATGTCAACTCAATTGAATAATTTCGTCACATATTTGGAGAAAAGTTTCATCTTAGATTTGATCCAAAACTTGAGTCATGGATTTCACAAGCAGAATCTCATCAAATCTTCCCTCTTCGCCTTTAGTTATATTAAAAAATACTTATAATTTTTATTATGACTGTCCCTCGTACGTTACCCCTGATTTCATTATCAGTGGACCAACCACTAATTCATAAGTCATAACAGGTGAAATTCAAAAATAGCGAGATTTACAACTGGTCGTTTAAAAATAGTCCAGTTTCAAAAGTAATCGAAATTTAGCCACTTTTCATATAAAGATAAATCTGAGCAAAAATACTGTTCAAAATCCGGAAAATACGCCAGTATATTATACTAGAGTTACAGCATAAGTATGCTTGAACTCCAACATATTATACTGGAGTTCCAGGATAAGTATGCTGGAACTCCAGCATAATATGATGGAGTTCCAACATAAGTACACTAGAACTCCAGCATAATATACTGGAGTTCCAGTATATTATACTGGAGTTAGCAAAGTATACCGGTCCAGCATAATATGCTGGAGTTCATACACAGGTGCACCGAACTCCAGTATATTATGCTGGACCGGTCTCTGTTGCAGCAAAATAGTGGTTATTTTTCATTGACTTCATAAACGCTGGCTATTTTTGAATAACTAATCCGAAAAATAGCTATACCGTGCTATTTTTACGTCATGACATCTCGTGCCAAGTTCAATTAAGCTTGTCTTTAACCCTCCTGTTCATACAGCCTATGAAAAATATAGTGTTCTTTTATCAAGATAAAATACTTGGGAAATTTCAGATAACTAAGGTAGGTTAATGAGATCATCAAAATACACGCATATGCATTTTTCCTCTGTTATGTCACGCAGTCTGAAAATTTTAGAGTAATTTGATACATAGTTTAGTGCTTCTTAAGATTGGAATACGCACATCCTTTTATGATAGGTTCATATCCATTAACCTCAGTTGTCGGTGGCGGTCTGAAACTATTTATATTCGGTAGTAAAAGTGTATAATATTTGTAAATAACATACCGAATGTATATATACATATAAAATATATATTTTTTCGACTATTATTTTCAAAACAGCTATACAGTGTCATTTCCCGAAAAATGCAAATCCATCTTGCACAAACAAAGTATAGTAATAGTTGTTTATTTTGGGGATTTTGATTTTTCCTAGTCGGTATTTTGGTGGTTTCAAACAATTTTATCAAATCTTACAAAATCCTTATTTTTAAAGGATATGCAATGCCCGTGCTCAGTGGTACAAGTATAACGCTACATATAAGAAAAAAGGTTTACGATAGCCATTAATTATATTATTCATTACAATAAGATTGAATAAATTTCTTTCACATGATACTTAACACTAAATTATGGTAAACCAACTTATCACCTGTAATTTACTTGCATAACGGTTTATTTTCTTCTTACCCAAAACCTTACTGAATAGTATCTCTCTCTCTCTCTGTCTCTCTCTCTCTCTCTCTCTCACACACACACACACACCCC